ATCCACACGTTGTTGGCTTTGGTTTAGAACGCGAGGATCGGCTCCTGCCCTTGAAGTGCACAATGGTCGGCTTTTTTAGGAACGAAGCAAACTAGAGTCCGGGCCCAACCTGGCGGTTTCACAGCCGCTGCAACAGCTGCGATCTTGTCGCGCGGAAATCGCTGCTGGTCCGCGAAAACGCGCTCGAGAAAGCGAGCCGCTTCCGACGCGTCGTGGTCGGCTTGACCGTCCTGACCACCATGATCTTCGTGCAGCTCGTGCAGCAGCTCGAGCGCCGCGAGGAAGTAACGCTCTTTCACGAGAAACTCCGCGACATCGAGCCGCATTGCCGCGCGGTCCCTCGACGCCACGTCACCGGACATGGCGCCGAATGGACGGCTGCGATCGATCGTTCAAGAGCGAAGGTTGACGAGATCGTGGAAATTATTACCTCCACCTGAGACTATCTCACCATCATGCGTGCTCCTTGTAACAAAAACTAATAGATTGTCAATAGTAATCCGCACAGTACGGAGAGGCACATCGAAAAGCGAACACGATCGCCTGCTGTGTCCGAAAAAAATCTTTCGACACTGATGTCAGAACAGAAATTAGGGTTGAAATCGGAGCTACACTGACGGATCTTCCGCCTTTACTGACCAGCATATGTGTGCCTATGTTTCAGGAAATTACGGAATTTAGAATGTCATGGTAGGATTGGTGAGGGAAAGACTTTGATGGCAATGCAGCTTTGTTCGGCAAACCCAAGAGGCTCTCCTGCTACACAGGGGATCCACGGGTGTCGTTGACATTCACTTCAATGCGGTGGGATAAGATGTGTTAGCGTTAACATTGGTTTTTGTATTTTGCAGAGCGATTGGGTATGGTTCCATTATGAGACGCTTCAGCACCCTGGATTCGGTTCCAGAGATGAGGGAGGTGGATGGGTTGAGAATGTGAGGTTCAGCTCACCAGGCGGGAGAGGAAGCTCCAGAACAGAGATCCGTGAGGTGGGTGAGCCGCCCCAGGGAGGAGGAATGACGCGAAGTGATAATAGCGAGAGGTGCGGAGTGGAGGACTGAACCAGTTTGACCCAGCTGCGAACTCGAGAGCGAAATGAATTTCGCATCAATGACGAAACTGCTCGTTCTGTAACTAATTTATTCTGACTGGACGCCTCGGATTCGCCGTCACGGTCTTTTGGAGGTAATCGACCGTCCACAGCGGAAGTCACTTGCTCGGAAAATACAAGCCACACCTACGGAATCTTCGCCTGGACCCAAGAATCTGGAGCGTCCAAGTTCGAGTCCTCATGGAATTCGCAGCGCAACCGTCGGATTGAATAGGTTGAAGCCAGCACTTCTTACTGCTTCCAGTTGAACAACAATGCACTTCCACTCTCCCGCATCTTTCTCTCAAATCTACATACGACTACGACGAATGACGTGAGAGTCTGGCTTCGCATCCCAGTCTTCACAATGCCCAATTACAACGTCCGGCGAGCGTTCGCCGCGGGAGTGTTCGCATGCTTCGTCACGTTCCTGCTGACCGATCCGCTCAAGCGCAGCCCGATCGCGCACCTGCCGTTCGAGCCCGTGCAGCATGACGCGCCGCCGCGCATGTGGCCGCCCATCATCGATCTCACCGAGAAGCTCACTTACGCGCAGCGCAGGTGCGCTTCGCCTCGTTTCGCTCAATTCCTGATGATCAGAAATTTTCGGATCCAGACGCCTGAAGCGTGCCATAGCGGTATAATTCGCATTGTTAGTTTAGAATACGGCATCCACCCCAATCTTGCTCGTATTCTAGTTTCAGCTGACTCGTTGAAAAGGCAATTCGGTGAATTCACTTCATGCTGTTTTGACGCGGCAGGTACGAAGGGGAGGGTTTCGGGCCGGAGAGTCTGGCGTGGGATCTGGAGGGGCGAGGGCCGTACGCGGGGCTCAGCGACGGCCGGGTGGTGCGCCGCAACGCCGACGACACTGCCTGGGAGACTTTCGCCTGGGCCTCCCCCCAGCGGTACCACCCTTTTACCTTATGGCTCAATTCGTCCTCAGTTCCCCTCTAAACGTGAATGACGTTACGACTACTACTCACGTGTTTGCATTCCGCGCGCTGATCCTAGCGATCTACCTTATCGAGTCCCCCTGCCATTGCTCCATTCATATCCGCTGCTCCCAACTACGTGCCTTACACACCTGCATCGCTCCCTTCCTGCTCGTTTCGTCCCCCCGTCAGAACCCCGGAACTATGCGATTTGAAGCCCGTGGAGCTGGAGGAGGGTAAATCACCCATCGTATATGGCGTCAACATGACCCTGGTCCCCAATCTCACCACGGAGCACATATGCGGGCGGCCGCTGGGGCTGCGGTTCCACCCGGTGACGGGGGAGCTGTTCTTCGCGGATGCGTACTTTGGCGTGTTCAAGGTTGGGCGGCAGGGCGGGCTGGCGCAGCCTGTCGTGACGCGCGTGGACGGCCGCCCGCTGCTGTTCGCCAACGACCTTGATATTGCCGCCAGCGACGAGAACGGCACCCTCTATTTCACCGACACCAGCAAACGCTTCCACCGCCGGTGAGACACGAGGGGGGTTGGGAGAGAAGAGGGGGGTGGGATGAGGGTGCTCGGCTACAGATTAAACAGTAGTGTGCCTCCAGCTCTGGTGAGAAGGGGAGGGGGGGGGGGAGGCGCACAGCTTATGACAGGAAGGCAGCACTTTCTTCCAGCGCCTGTGATGCAAGAAAAGCGGGGGAGAGGGAGAAGGAGGGGAGGAGAGGTGAGAGGTGGAATTGGAGAGAGGTGCTTGCAGGTGACACAAGTGAGGGTAGAAGGGGATGTGGGGAGAGGGGGATGCACAGCAGCAAGCACTTGCAGCGCAGGTGACGGTACAAGAGCACTCTTGGCTCTTTGTTTCTATCTGTCCCTCTGCCATTCACTGCCTCCCGTCAATCGCTCTCGGCCACTCCCCCTACCTACCACCTTCATGCTCCTGCAGGAATTTCTTTGTGGCGATAATGGAGGGGTGGTCCGATGGGCGGCTGATGAAGGTGGATCTGGCGACGGGCGAGGTGCAGGTGCTGCTGCGCAACCTCGCCTTCGCCAACGGTGTTGCTCTCTCCAAGGACAAGTCCTTCCTTGTCGTCTGTGAAACGACCAAAGCCAGGTGGGTGGCAGCATGGCAACAACGTTGGATCCAATATACCTTGCTGTCATAAACGGTGTTGCTCTCTCCAAGGACCAGTCCTTCCTTGTCGTTCGTGAAACCACCAAAGCCAGGTGGGTGGCGGCAGTAGTAACACAAGCAGCAGCACAAGCAGTGGCGTCTGTAACAGCGAGAGCAGGAGCAGCAACAGCACTGTGCCCTGCACTCCCTCATCTGTATCACACACGTTGCACCACAACTGTGGTATCACATCCACCTATCATCCACCTCATCATCCAGCTGAACATTCATCTCGCAGTATCCAACACGGCAGTCAATTCACCGCCCATCTCCCACCCACGGTTGCAGGTGCATGCGCTATTGGATCAAGGGACCCAAGGCGGGCACCACTCAGCTTTTCCTGGACCTGCCCGGGCTGCCCGACAATGTTCGCCTCAATCCGCGCGGCCGCTTCTGGGTTGCGCTCCATGCCAAGCGAGGCATTGTTATTGGTGACTACTCTCCACGCCCTCCCTCATGTCGTTGGTTTGTGTCAAAGTTTGAATTCTGGATCAGGGTTGGGCTCAAACTTGAGGGCTGCGATTTCGGGGGTCTTGGATCAGCTTATGTGCACTGTATGCGCACTCCCTCCCTGGTTTCATGGGTGATTGACCACCATTTCCTCTCCCCGTGCACTGTTCTTTCTTCCCTTCCCTTACCCTCTGTTTTTTCCTCTTCCCACCACCTGTCACCCTTTCCACTCAACGCTACCCAAAACAATTAGGCCTCATGTTCTTGGTTGCGCCACAACCTGATGCAGTTACCACCGGCAGCGCCCCTAAACCGCTGACCTCCTGCCCTCCCTCCCTCCCCTTCCCCTCCCTCTCCACCATCACTCTCGATCCCTTCTTACAGACACCCTGGCCACGCGCCCGTGGTTACGTCGCATCCTGATGCGTTTACCGCTCGAAGTGAAGATTCTCTATGCCATGATAGTGGGGGCGCCGCACGGGTACTTGATAGAGGTGGACGAAAACGGGGAGATCACGGAGGTTCTGGAAGACAGCCTGGGGCTCGTGGTGCGGGCGATCAGTGAGGTGGAGGAGCGGAACGGGCAGCTGTGGATGGGCTCTGTGATCATGCCTCATTTGCACGTGCTGGATTACCCGGTCAAGGTGAAGCTGCCCGGGAAATTTGGGCAGGAGGGTGGGGAAGGAGAGGCGGAGGGTGGTGCTGTGGGTGGGAAGGAAGAGGATGCAGAGGGTGGTGCTGATGGTGACGCTGGTGCTGGTGGTAGGGATGAGCTGTGAGCAAGGCCAGCTGAATGCTTGATAATTGTTGGTGCATCTAGGAGCTGTACGTGTGTGCACCAGAAGGAATCCACCATGTACCTAGCTTAGGTAAATAGCCAGTGTTTTTCATTCAGCAGCACTCCCCCCTGCAGCCTGCGTGTATTCACGTGTCTTCTAGAATGTTGTATTCACAATAAGTGTGTACAAGTTGGCAACCACATGATGTAACAGATATAAGGTGGCTACAACTGAATCCATGCCAGTCTATCTGCCCAGTTCAACTATTGTGTAATGGAACAGTTAGACAGGCCATTTTAGAGCATGACATGAGTCTAACCTAGCAAGGTGCACTGATACCGGATTCCAGTATTCACAGCTGACCGCGATGCAACACCACCATTTCCTGGATATATGAACTATCGTTCATATATCCAATCAACCAGGTTCAACAACACCTCTTCCCATAAACCAAGTTCAATGCCTGCAATGCAGACGAGTTGCTCCATACACTGTCATTGTCCCTCACACATATTCAACAACACCTCTTCCATCCTTATCCTCCTCATCCTCCTCATCCCCTCACATCATCACAATCTAATACCAGAAATGCTCTTCCCATCGTTCTTCTCCTCCGCATTCCACCCATCTCTCCCCACCACTGCCAGCGCCGGCGCCCCTTCCACCCCATACCCCCCTCTCTCCCCTTCCCCCTCCCCCTCCTCCTTCTTCCCCTCTCCTTCCCCGTCCGTCATCCCTCCTTCAAACCCATGCACGAACCGCTCGTAGTTACTCATCTCCGCATTCTTAAATGGCCGCGGCCCCAGCAGCCTCACCAGGTCCTCCTGATGCAGCACCTCCTTCACCAGCAACTCCTCCGCCACCGCCGCCACCCCCTCCCGGTGCTTCTCCATCAGCTCTAGCGTCCTCCTATACGCCGAGTCCACCGCCTCCCGCACCTCGGTGTCGATCAGATCGGCCGTCTCATTGCTGTAGGGCTTGGAGAGGCCCTCGAGGCCCTCGCTGTTGGTGGCCTTGGGGAAGGAGAGCAGGCCGAGCTTGTCACTGAAGCCGTACACGGCAACGCGGTTGTAGGTCGTCTTGGTCACTCGCTCCAGGTCGTTCTGTGCTCCTGTTGACACACTGCCCAGTAGCACCTGAGGAAAAGGATGAAGGGAAGGTGGGGCGTGGGGCAGGGTGAAGGGCAGATAAGGTGAAGGTGAGGGGCAGATAAGGTGAAGGTGAGGGGCAGGTGAGGGGCAGGTGAGGGGCAGGTGAGGGGCAGGTGAGGGGCAGGTGAGGGGCAGGTGAGGGGCAGGTGAGGGGCAGGTGAGGGGCAGATGAGGGGCAGGTGAGGGGCAGGTGAGGGGCAGGTGAGGGGCAGATGAGGGGCAGGTGAGGGGCAGGTGAGGGGCAGATGAGGGGCAGGTGAGGGGCAGGTGAGGGGCAGGTGAGGGGCAGGTGAGGGGCAGGTGAGGGGCAGGTGAGGGGCAGGTGAGGGGCAAGCATACGGCAGGATAGAAGGGCAGTGGAGGCCGGGCAAGATCAGTTCATAGTGCAGCTCTTACAGCCTGCAATGCCACACCTGCCTTTATCCTATCCCCAATGGCCATGCATGTCATGTTGACGAGCTGACCCTTGGTCATCAGCACAACAGGCATTCACTCAGCTCAGCACATACTCACTTGTCATCCTAATATCCTTCTCACAACCATCCCACCTGCTCAGTCACCTGCTCAGCCGCCCTCCCTCCAAGAGCCTTGCAAGTCATGTCGATGAGCTGGTCCTTGGTCATCAGCATGTTCGCATTCAGCAATTCATGAAGGCACATCCTGTTTCACACTCCGAAATCAACCCCAAGCACCTCACCTGCTCGGCTGCCCTCCCTCCAAGAGCCATGCAAGTCATGTCGATGAGCTGGTCCTTGGTCATCAGCAAATTCTCATTCGGCAGGTACTGTGCGAAGCCCAATGCCGCGGTGCCACGTGGCACGATGGACACCTTGAGCAGCGGCTCCGTGTGCTGCAGGAACCATGCCACCACCGCATGCCCCGCCTCATGGTATGCCACTGTGCGGCGCTCTGTAGCGCTTATGACCTGCAGGGGGGTTGGGGACGGGAGAGTGGGAGGGGGCCACGATGGACACCTTGAGCAGCAGCTCCGTGTGCTGCAGGAACCATGCCACCACCACGTGCCCCGCCTCATGGTAGGCCACTGTGCGGCGTTCCGTGGCACTTATGACCTGGGAAGGGATGGGGGATGAAGAAAAAGGGGGGTTGGTTGGGGGGATGTTGTGATGATCAGCGGCTCCATGTGCTGCAGAACACACGCAACAGCTGTTCCATTTACCTGCATGTGTTCTGCCTTTACTCTCATCCTTCATGTCTCTCCGCTACAATCACCTCTCCATCATCCCCCCACCAACCTACCTGTCCCACATCCCCTCTCCCCCCTACATTTTTCCCACCGTTTCCTCACCTTCACCACCCCCCCCCCCCCCCTCCCTCCTCCCTACCCCTTCCATTGTGCTCACCTTGCCCTTCTTCTCCAGCCCGCCAATCACGCGGTCCACCGCCGATTCAAAGTCCTGCATCAGGATCACCTCGCGGTCATTCCTTGCCGCCATGAGCGCTGCCTCGTTCACCACGTTCGCAATGTCCGCGCCCGCAAACCCCGGCGTCAGCGCCGCCATCCGCTGCGAGTAAAACTCCACCTCCTTATCCAAACTGACCCGACTCAGGTAAATCCGGAAGATCTGCTCCCGGCCCTTGATGTCCGGACGATCAATCGTGATCTGACGGTCGAAACGGCCCGGCCGCAGCAGCGCGGGATCAAGAATATCCGGCCGGTTCGTCCCTGCGAGAACCACAACCCCTGACGTAGTAGTAAACCCATCCATCTCCACCAGCAGCTGGTTCAACGTATTCTCCCGCTCATCATTCCCCCCGGCAAACCCCCCGCGGCCCCTGGCCCTGCCAACCGCGTCAATCTCATCAATGAAGATAATGCTCGGGCTGCAGGCACGAGCCTGAGCAAAGAGATCTCTCACGCGGGACGGCCCCACGCCCACAAACATCTCCATGAAATCCGACCCAGAGATGGACAGAAACGGCACGTCCGCCTCCCCCGCCGTCGCCTTGGCCAGCAGCGTCTTCCCCGTGCCTGGCGGCCCCACCAGCAGCGCTCCCCTTGGGATCTTCGCCCCGAGCGCCTGGTACTTAGCGGGGTTTTTCAAAAAGTGTACAAATTCCATGACCTCTTGTTTGGCTTCGTCGCACCCTGCGACGTCTCGAAAGTAGACCTTGTTCTTGCTGTGCTTGTCCATTTTTGTCACGGCTGCTTTTCCCACGTTGAACATCCCCTTGGCACCGCCCGCGCCGCCCGGGCCGCCCATGCCGAAGCCGGACTGCAGGCCGCGGCTGAAATAGATCCAGGCAGCGATGATGAGGGCGGTGGGGAGCAGACGCAGCAGCTCCTGTTGCCAGCTCACTTCAGAAGCATAAGTCACTGGAATCTGGTGGGGTGGGCAAGGAAGTGGAGGGAAGGGGGAGCGGAAGGGAAAGGTGCCTGTCCAATCTTGAGTCAAGTCATGTCAAATCTAAAGAACACGTCCCACAAGCCGTCCGTCTCAGAATCCAGACCAAAAGTTCACAGCACTTTACCCACCCTGCTGTGGCCGTCAGTGCCTATGGCGTTCTGAGCGTCATCCAGCTTGCGTTCAAACGAGTCAACGCTGCCAATTTGGAAGTAATACCGGTAGGCCGCCATCTGCTCCACCTGCCTCCGCCGCTGCCTCACCCCCCGCGCCCCTCCCCCTCCCCCCAACCCCCCCTCCCCCCGCCCCTGCGCCGCCTCCCCCTGCTGATGCCCGTCAAACTCCCCGTGCTTATCATCAAAGTACATCACATCTCCATCCCCGTCATAACCCTCCCCAACACCGTCACTAGCACCCGTCGCACTCCCCTTGCCCCTCGCACCAGCAACACCACCAGCAGCAGCACCAGCAGCACCAGCAGCTGCACCAGCACCAGAAACGGCCCCAGGGCGGCGGTTGGTATACACGTAGACCTTGGCCTTGCTGCGATTGACGATCTCCACCTTGGCTACGAGCCCCTTCTCCAGCAGCTCGTTCTTGAACTCCTGGAAGCTGATCTCCACCGCCTCGCTGCTCGCATCACTCGTTAGCATCGACGTGAGTGACAGGAAAAACGCCGCGGATAGCAGCGGGTAAAGGCTGTTCTGAAAGTCCTTAGGAAACGCCTCATCCCAAAAGTTCTGCCCTTTCTTGTTGCCGTCCTCACTGCCGCCGCTGCTACTGTCTGCCTTCTTGCCATCTCCCCCCTCTCCTCCTCCTGCACCTCCTGCTCCGCCTGCTGTTGCTGCTTCCTGCTGGGGCCCGCTGGCTTGAGGTTTCTCGCCTGAAAAGGATAGAAAAAACAAGAGGCCGACGAGAAAAAGGGGGGCTTGTGTGGATGTGACGAGGAGTCGAACGAGGGAAAGGGAACGAGGAGAAGCGGGCAAAAGGGGGAGAGGGGTGGGGCGGCGAGAAAGCAGAAGCAGAACTGTGGAGGATTATGAGAGGGAGGGGAGGAGGGCGCGGAGGAGGCGAGGGTCACCTGGCGTCTGAGCAGCAGCAGCGGGACGTCCCTCTTCCTCTGCCTTCCTCTTGGGGTAGTAGTGCTCGTAGTCTGCCCAGCAGTGAAAGACGCGGAGGTTAGCTTGACAAACGCGATGTTAGGGTTGAGAGCGTGGAAAACTAGGAAACAACAAAAAAAAAAGGTTAAGGCATGACAGATTTCACGCTGCATGTACACGAACCTAACTGCTACCCGCTCATAAAGCGTCAAATAAGCACTCTGCAGTTTCGACAGACGCAGATAGAAGGGACGCGTGGCGGATAGAGACAAGGAGGCGGCTTACTTTTCGGCTTGGGTTCTTCAGGAGGAGGGGGGGTCGTGGAGGAGAGGCGTCGGGATAAAACGGAGCTGTGACGTGGCATGTGGACCTGTGGCGATGGAGAGGGAGGCAGTGGCGAGAAGGATCGTCGGAACAGAGTACATTCCAGTGCAAACTTCAGACCCGATTCAAAGAAATCCGTTTCATAGCACATAAGTTCGTAGAGAATGAGGATAACACGAACCCCGCTCAAGCGTCCTTAGCATAGACACACCATACTTCCACCCTCCGCGACCTGAATTCCGGCCTCAAAACACCAACCAAGCATAATATGTTACCTGTCGTGAATCAGCACAGCCGAGACCTCCGACCACAGACCCCTCCATCCCACGAAAAGCGGAATACCAGCGCCTTCCGCCAAGCTGGTACGGCGCCACGGCAATCCCATGATCCCCGGCAATTCCAAGGTCGGATCGTCCTCCTCCCTCCGTCCGCGCTTTCTTTCCCCATCCTGACATTTCGGATCCAATTTCCGCCGGCCCGCCACCTTCCGCCTCGCGAATATCAATTAGGGTTGGAGTTGTATGAGGTGTGTTTGTAACGGGGTAAGCGGCTCCAGCACAGCCACGCTGGCAGTGGTGCCGCGTCAGCACCCTGGCCGCATCCAGCCACCGGCCCTTGGATCGCTGCATCCCCGATGAAAACATGATGGAGGGAAAAGCCACAATACTCGTCGGTCTCCTTAACAAATAGTAAAATATTCGGTAATGAAGGCACGAATCGTGTGCTTAAGCGGATGCTTCTTGAGCACGGCGAGGAAAGCAAGCGTGAAACGGAACGGTGGAAGAGCACGTGAATTTCGATCGGCCAGCCAAGTGAGGTCACGGTTGTGATACGTCCAGGACTAGCCGACTAAGAAGATGAGAATGAGATCGGCAATCGCCAGACCCACGAGACTACCGCGACAGTGCCGTGTAGGAGGAGCTGTTTGATGGAAGGCGAAAACAGCGTGGAAGTAGGTGAGTACGTTGTAGTTGTGTGATTCAACAGCAACCAGAATAGAAGGCATCTGTACTACCTACTCCTAAAAACGATCCAGCTTGTAAACCGCAGAGGCATTGCTGGTAACTTTATGAACGAAGCTCCCTGAGAAGCAGCACCAAGCAGGGATGCTGATGTGGTCAACTGACAGCTCGCCACAGCAAGGTGAATTTTTTGAAACGTCACCAGCCACGCAAGCGTCCACTCAGTTGGCCAATCGGTTTGTGGAGAGCGGATCGTGTGGGGATACTCACCCACACAAGCAACAGCTACTGGAAGGCGCACGTCATCAGGTACGGGTGTCCATTGTCCAACAGAATCCATTCAACATATTTTAGCATCAATGAGAGGTCTATTGCGGTGGCATATGGTCCCAGACCAGTGCAGTACGTTTTCGGGTTTCATGTGGCATATGTTTTCCAGACCACCGCTGGTTTACCTTGGCGTCCTGTGCGGTTTGACGACGCGGCCGAAAACAGCCAAGCCAGACCAAAGCCATCAAACCATTCCCACCAAACCGACGTAGTCTGCAGTCGCCATGTACCAAGCCCTAGGTTTCCCTCCAAAACTGTTGACTCCACTTATGAAATGACACGGCAGCGCGGTTCGAGCTTCCACCATTGCCTCGATTCATCACCCTTCACCCACACCACACACACTCTCCGTCAGTCACCTCGGCAAGGAACTGTAATGTCTCCTGAATTAACCTTCTCAAGCTCTCCGTCAGTCTCAAGATCGTGAGCAGTAGGCTCTGAGTCAAGTCTAATCGTTTTTGGCCTGTCCAACGATTTCTAAGCTGACTCAATAGCAGCATCTCTTTACGACGAAAAGACAAATCTGAAGCAGCGTCGGATAAGGTTAGACCTCCTCTCTTGTGAAAGTCTTGTTCTTCAAGCTTATCAGCTGTAGAGATATCAAGCTTATCAGCTGACGACTGGCCGACTCTTTCAAGCTGCAGCGTGTCGAATCCATCAGCGTTTTCTTTTGCGGATTCATTCAACTTCATGGTAAATGGCGGGTCGGAGCTTACTAGGGGGGTCGTCGCGTCGCGTCTAGGTCGCCATTAGAGCGTCCATAGGTTTGTTCGTCATCGAGTCTTCATCTCTCGTCCGTGTTACTAACTCACTCTTCTGTTCGCCTGTGCATGTGCTCCGGCTCATGGGGGTGTCTTCACGGTGTGCTCCAATGTGATGCCGATCAGCCGTCGAAGCCATCGAGGCTGCCGGTCGCGTGCCGTGCATGAGGTGGGTCTTCAGATCGGTTGGCGGTAGCAAATTGGGCATATTGAAAGGCAAATCGGACATTGCGAGACGCAGGCTAATCATGATCAGTCAAGCAGGACAGGTAGCATCCTGACAAGAAAGTCTCTGGGTAAGTGCAGGTTGAGCTCTTTGGAGGGTATTGTGAGTCTTGGGTCGCACGTAGAGAGTCGCAAGTCTGCTTCGTCCTTGCTTCAGTCCGCTTTGCTCCCGTCAGTTCTAACCCATTGCGTGTGATGTTCCGTTTGCGTGTGCTGTGTGCCATGAGAAGAAGGGTGTGGTCACACGAGTGAGTGAGTGGGTGTGGCTTGGCTTCTCTGGCAGATGGCGCCATCAGCAGCAGTCACACGAAGTCGGAAAGCCTCTCTTCGTCAGCCACACCTCATCGCTGCTGACAAGTACTTTGTAGGGTTAGGGAGCAGGGGGGAGTGTGTCTGATATAAGCGCCAGAGAGTCATTATGTGATTTCAATATCGCGTCATTTCTTACCTTGCTCCTTTGCTAACAACGCGTGCATGTCTTCCCCTTTAATGTGTTTCCCTGAACTGTCCCTTTCCTGTCTGCGAGGCCGTGGATTGGTTGGTAGAAGCAAATCGGACATCACCAGATGCAGATCGGTTGATCCGGAAGGCGTGGTGCAGGAGTGGCAGAGCAGCGGACAGAGTGTGGTATGTGCCAGGGGGTGCCTGCAGGGGGGAGTGTAGTGAGTCGTAGAGTGTCGCCGCGCAGAGGCAAGGGTCGTGTTTCTTGTCTTGCTTGTACCTCCGCCACTCGCCTCGTGCTGATTCTAACCCTCCCTTCCCTTGTTGGTGCCGCTTGTGTGTGCGTGTCTCTCTCCCCATGCGTGTGTGTGTGTGTGCCTCACGGCCTGCGAGCATGGGCAGCCGGAGCAACAGAGCAACCTGGAGCAACTTGGAGCAGCAGGCGTGAAGGGAAGGCGTGGTGCAGGGTGGCAGAGCAGCGGACACAGTGTGGTATGTGCCAGGGGGTGCCTGCAGGGGGGGAGTGTAGTGATTCATAGAGCGTCGCCGCGCAGACGCAAGAGTCGTGTCTCGTGCTTTTGACTCTGCCACTTGCCTCGTGCTGTTTCTAACCCTCCCTTCCCTTGTTGGTGCCGCTTCTGTGTGCGCGTATCTCTCCCCATGCGTGTGTGTGCTTCACAACCTGCGAGCATGGGCAGCTGGAGCAACAGAGCAACCTGGAGCAACTTGGAGCAGCGGGTGTGAAGGGAAGGCGTGGTGCAGGAGTGGCAGAGCAGCGGACAGAGTGTGGTACGCGCCAGGGGGTGTTTGCAGGGGATAGGGAAGTGAGTCGTAGAGTGTCGCCGCGCAGAGGCAAGAGTCGTGTCTCTTGCTTTTGACTCTGCCACTCGCCTCGTGCTGTTTCTAACCCTCCCTGCCCTTGTTGGTGCCGCTTGTGTGTGCGTGTCTCTCTCCCCATGCGTGTGTGTGTGGGCAGCCGGAGCAACGGAGAAACCTGGAGCAACTTGGAGCAGCAGGCGTGAAGGGAAGGCGTGGTGCAGGAGTGGCAGAGCAGCGGCCAGAGTTGGGTACGTGCCAGGAGGTGCTTGCATGGGGGAGTGTAGTGAGTCGTAGAGCGTCGCCGCACAGAGGCAAGAGTCGTGTCTCTTGCTTTTGACTCCGCCATTCGCCTAGTGCTGTTTCTAACCCTCCCTTGTTGGTGCCGCTTGTGTGTGCGTGTCTCTCTCCCCATATGTGTGTGTGCCTCACGGCCTGCAAGCATGGGCAGCCGGAGCAATGGAGCAACCTGGAGAAACTTGGAGCAGCAGGCGTGAAGGGAAGGCGTGGTGCAGGGTGGCAGAGCAGCAGACACAGTGTGGTATGTGCCAGGGGGTGCTTGCAGGGGGGAGGGAAGTGAGTTGTAGAGCGTCGCCACACAGAGGCAAGAGTCGTGTCTCCACCGCCAGCAACTACCACCTCTCGGGAATGATTGCATGTGAATGCAACGCCAGCATCTGGCAGCCTGGTGGCAGCACTGTAAAAAACAACAGCGTTATGTTCAGATGGGGCGGCTGCAGCGGTAGTAGGGTGCAGCAGATTGATTATGAATGTTCTTGCAGATCGTTTCATTGGTTCCCACTCTGCTTTTCAACCCTAGCACGCTTCCTTACCACGTCCAGCTGGATCTGACCTGTATCATCTATGATGCTGAGAGTGTTAGCAATAGGGGGGGCAACATGGACATCAGAAGAGCCAGCAGTGGCAGCACAAGGTAAACCTCGTATTTTGCCATACTTCAATTCATTTGTCTCCTGACGCATGGTAACTCATTCCTGTCGCTGGTTTGTTTCCCTCCCTCTATTCCCTACTAGTTTGTCACTGGTTTGCGACTCATTGCAACTCACTCCTGTCACCAAAACACCCTTTTTTTTCGCCGTGTACCCCTTCTGTTTCTGGCAGGCTGCAAGCTCAACTGCCAAGCCACGAGAAGATGCTGCTGAGAGAACTTCTTAAACATGGTTTAGTGACAGTTTAAGGGGGGGGCTAGATAGCTAGAGGGTGGGGCGTTCATTACTAAGGTTTTGGCTGGTATCCCATGCCACATGTTTGGCTGATGGACTCAGCCCATGCTTCTGGTGCACTTGCGTGCAGCCCATCCGTTGCTGCATGTGTGCAGCCCATCCTTTGCTGCATGCGTGCAGCCCATCCTTTGCTGCATGCGTGCAGCTCATCCTTTGCTGCATGCGTGCAGCCCATCCTTTGCTGCATGCTTGCAGCCCATGCATTGCTGCATGCAAGCAGCCCATATCTTGCTGCATGCGAGCAGCCCATATCTTGCTACATGCAAGCAGCCCATATCTTGCTGCATGCAAGCAGCCCATATCTTGCTGTATGTAGCAGCCCATGTTTCTGGTGGTGCATGCAGGCGTGCCTTGCTGCAAGCAAGCAGCCCATGCTTCTGCTGCTGCTCGTCTGCAACCCCTGCTTCTGGATGCTTCCCACACGCAGCCCATGTTTCTTGCTGCAGCATGCATGCAGCTTAGGATTGTGGTGGCAGTCAAAATGTAATTTGTTATGTACCGTAGGCTGTAGTGGGATACTCAGAAGAGAGTTCAACCCTTTCAGGGTTTCATAAAAGTACTCCACCTGTCTGTCAGCCAGTACAACCCTCCTCCTTCCTAAATCCTAAGCCCTAGTCTCTTAACAATGTCCTGCACCATGGATGCTGCACAACCCATGTTTCTTGCTGCAACATGGTTGTTCAAAGCTGCATCATGCATGCAGCCCACTTTTCTGGTTCTTGTGTGCGTCCCGAGGGCAGAACAGTTGAATGTGGGCATATTATTGGCTCGTGTCAGGCATGATCGCTTCTAAGCATAAATGCGGGACTTCATTTTCCCTGGAATCGAGCTACTAGAGTGAAATAAACTTGCTATGAGATAGCATTATGGTGTTTTTTCATTGAAACTTATGACATTTTCTTAGCTAATGATCTGTAAAACTGTACATGTTGCAAACAGTAATTTCGGGACTTTCATTTGCCTAGACCGCATTGTTCGGCACACAAATCCACGTCGCCCTACACCGTCGGACGCGCTGTACTGCCAGGCCGAGCACCACGTCCTAACTCAACCCCGCCTTTTGTGTGCCGCAAGCCGCAAAAGCCGTGTCGTGGTCGTGCGGCTAGGATGACTTAAAAAACACTCAACAACATCGTTCTGCCGTCGATTCAGCCTAGGCAGCCCCAGAAATGTTGAAACTCCTGATTTGTGACTGGATTGAATCACATCCCTCCCCAGATCGGGCACCCGCTTCGGTTTCAGTAACTTGCTGCAAATGTTATAGCAAAGTACTTGTGTGGTACGATTCGGTGGAAGCAATTACTGTACCACTTCCTGATCCATTTCAGCGGCCTTGACTGCCATTTTTTAGGCCATTCAAGCTGTTGTGACACATCTTGTGAGGGCAACGGTGGAGCAGATACGCATATGTCGTGCCGTGTGCCGCATTTCCCACGTCGTCTGTACGACGGTGCGAAAAAGAGTTTTGTCCTGGCAGTAGTAGTCTCATAAGAGCAGTATCGATTGGTTTGCGCGCTGACTAATTTTCGGTCACTTCCCATCTGCGTCAGAGGAATACCCTATCGATTAGGCCCACCCACCATGGCTGCCGTTATGGCAGCGAAAGCGCGCCTTGGTGCGGCACTGCTTCCGCGAATTATCCTCGTTGCTCTAATAGTCGCTGCTTCACCACTCTCTGCTCGCGCGTACGTCGGGCAAACTCCCTGGCTCGAAGACCTCTCGCAGCATTCCGGGAACGCGTCTGACGCCGCAAATGTTGCTGCCTTCGCGGTACCAATGCGACACGTGCCAGTCTCGGAAGACGAGAACGAGCACGAAATGGCGGCTCGAAAGATGCAAGACACGACTGCAACGACGGCGGCGGCGAGGCAGTGCCTGAAGCCGACGGTGAAGGGCTACACGTCGGCCATGCTCATGGAGCCAGGGTGTGTTCAATGAGGCAACCCAAAGGTCACTGTGAAGTCGTGCATGCCATCCATGCTCATTACATCCGGGGTCTTTAATAAGCCGTAAAATTTCGCCTCCCTGTCGTCCTGCTGCTCGCCCCACCAGCCTGTTCCTCAACTGGAAGATTATGAAGTCGGGAGGATTGGCCGTCGCTATCCACGCCAAGGCGACGACGACCGCGGCGAGAGGGTGGATCGCCGTCGCGTGGTCAACCACGGGGCTTATGTCGCCCGCCGAAGCCATCGCGGGTAACCTGCCGCACGGCGGGTTACAGGGTTACAAGCTCAACACGTACACTTCGGTTGTTCCGACCAACAGCCTGAAGGTTCAGGGAAAGACGGTATCGACCGCTGCTGCGGGCACGGTAATCAGGTAACAAACTCCTGTCGTCTCTGCGCATCCTTGTCTGTTCATCCACTCTGCTCATCCTCCCTGCTCTCTTTTCTCTATCATATGTTTCCACCCGCTGGCCTTGCATGCCAAGTTCCTTCCAAAAATCTGACGTCATTTGAGGCGCCTCCACCAAACTCCTCTGTATGCGCGCCACGTTGTGCAGTTTTATTCGGCGGCAAGGCGACGGGGGAAAGGTGCCAGTGAGGCTGTGGGCGGTGAACCGTCTCGTGTGGGCCTACTCCAACGACGGCACCAAGGCTGTTGGTTACCACGGCAGTAACGTGTGCGTGTTACACTAGCGGGCTTTCGCACAAGTTTTTCTCTTTCTTACCTTCTTTCTTTTCTATGCAGCCTTATGGTATCTGCGAATCGGGCGAACTGAATTCGCAAAGGTTACTACATCTGGCGAGCAATTTGCCGCAATACCTGCCTTTCCCTCTCCTGCTCCGTTGCAGTGGTGCGCTGTCTGTCATCTTCGCGTGTAACGGGGCGACGGGTAAAGTGCCAGGCAACTCTAACACCCCGCCCCCGACGCCGTACAAACCTCCGCCGGTCCAACGGTCCTACAAGTGCCCCGTGTCGTCTCTTCCCACTTTCATCTACATGACTGATCTCGCGCCAGGGTGAGTAAAACGAAGCTAAGAGGCGGCTGCTGCTTAGGTCTTGTAGTCTCAGCCAACCCACTCATAATTCCCCAAGGCAGCGTCTCACATCTGTTTCCATACCTTCCTGTTATGCCCCGCATGCGATACCCCGCCTGATTGGTTGCTGCCATGATCCCCCGACCGATGATCCTCCTTCCTTTTCTCTGTGTGTTCTTTTCTCCTACTGTCACGCGCACCCCCACTCTTGCTGCGCCTTCGCAGGCTGGTGCTGCACTGGCGCCTGCATCAGCGCAATGTGGTGGAAGTGGCACTCGAGGCGCAGGCGGGCAGCGGGGCGGAAAGCGGATGGTTGGCGCTCGGGTGGTCCACGAACGGACGGATGGGCGGCTCGGAGACAATTATTGGAAATAAGGCTGCGGGTGTAATGGGAACATACGATATCATGGGCTACAGCATGACCTCCATACAGCCCAAGATAATGGGACTCGGGGATGCTGCTATGGTGAACAAGAACGGGAGGGGGTCAACAATCATGAGGTGAGATGGAAGCGAGGAAGGACGATTAGAACACCAAAGTGCATTGCTTTACGTTGGTACACCACATAACAGTTCACATAACGTGCTTCATATGATTGTTTCTTGGAACTCGCAGGTTTAGGAGAACTGCTGGGAAGTTCAACCGCGTTCCTGTGCGAGCTTGGGGGGTTAACACCCTGGTGTGGGCCTACTCCAAGGACAATACCAAGACTTTCACCTACCATGGTGGTAACTGGTGAGCAGTGGTTACAGCAGCTAGGTGGAAGCCTAATGTATGTTACAGGTGATTCTGTATTGTGCTTTACAGGACCTTAGTTTACCTGTGCGTGACAGCCCTAATAGTTTTCCCGTGGTGAATTGAGTGTGTGCGCATGCAGGACATTTGTAAGGGTGTATGTGCGTGCGTGTGTGCGTGTGTGTGTGTGTGTGTGTGTGTGTGTGTGTGTGTGTGTGTGTGTGTGTGTGTGTGTGAGCGTGGAAGTGTGTGTATGTGTGTGTGTGTGCAAGTGCGTGTAAGTGTGTGTGTGTGCAAGTGTGTGTATGTGTGTGTGTGTGTGCAAGTGTGTGTATGTGTGCAAGTGTGCAAGTGTGTGTGTGTGCAAGTGTGTGTATGTGTGCAAGTGTGTGTGTGTGTGTGTGTGTGTGTGTGTGTGTGTGTGTGTGCAAGTGTGTGCGTGTGTGTGCAAGTGTGCAAGTATGCATGTGTTCATCCATGCAACTGCATTTTTGCCTCTTAGATAGATCAGGTGTCCTAGGCCTCCATCACACCACCTCCAACACCTTTACATCCGACTGAACTGTCGTCATGACTGCTGCTCTTGCACCCTGCCCTTGCCCTCCATCCAATCCCATACTATTCTGGATTGCAACCCCCCTCTCCCTCCCCCCATTTCTCCCCTCCAATGTCTACTGTAGTGGGTGGCTCACCGTGGACTTTTCCTGCAAGGTACCACCGTACAACCGGGGACGGGGAGAAAATGAGGGCGGTGAAGACGATTACCCTCAATAAGGTTTTTTTTTACTTCTGTAGGCTTATTATGCTGCATTGGATCTTGTCCTGCACGTGTTGTCTCGACAGCCGGTCGTACGCTGCGTTGGCAGAAGCTACCGAATGTATTTCTAGAAAAAGATGAGTTGTGTGACTGAGTACGAAGTTGGGAATCTATGTGATAGTACTTCTATTGTTGATATTGTGGTATTGTAAGGAATTTTCTTGATATTCCTTAGCGCACCTTGCAACATCGCGTACAGCAGCAGCCGTTGTTCGCCCGTTACTACTAACGGGGCTTCGTCGACCTCGCGCGCACTGATTCACCAAACCTCGCACTGCTGGCCTGGCCGTGTCGGCCTACGCTTCGGGACTAGCCCGAGCCTCGCTTTCAGCGCAGCACTAGCTAGCTTGCACGCACTGCGTTACCGTTTGCATGTTTCGCGTATAAATGTTCGCTCATGCCTTCGCTCACATTTTGTACTCGTTTGACACCTTAGTGCAATTCTTGCTACTTCGATTTATTGCACCCGTAACACTTGGTATTCATAGCCTCTTTCCTTTTCGGACCGCGCATCTCCGCACCCCAGGAAATCAACTTAAGGGACTCACGTACCTTAGCACCTAGGAGCCGCTGTCCTCGCGTTCTCTCGTAAACGCATGCAGCCACGACTGCGTCTAGACTAAGACGAGCCGACACCCTTCGAAATGGCTGAACATATCGACGTCACGACCAGGGCAAATTCTATCAGGGTAAATCACCCTGATACCCTGATAATCAGGGTGGTTTTTGGGGGTCACACTGATGGCCCCGGGTAATTTTTTTAGGAGCTAGTTTTACCTTGATGTGCCAGGGTTTACATTTATGTCACACTGATGCATAAGGGTTCCCGAATCCCATAACGGGTTTTACCCTGAAACGAGTACCCTACCCCCCTCGCCCCCCAGTACCCCCACCCCCCCTTTCCCGTAACCCTGGAATCCCAATTGCCAACTATCGAAGCCTCATTTTCGGCCTTGACAGCGCATGTGCTGGCACACATTGGGCCACCATTGGCCCGGCTTACAATTTCTTTGTTGGCTGCGCCACCAACACAACTCGGTCTGTTTGTCTGACATGACAACACGACCGGGTTAGCAGGAAACTTGGCTGAGTGGACCAGAAGGGCAAACAGAAAGCACCTGAGCCTGAAGAAGAGAGTGACCACGACGAACACCCGTGTGGCATGTCTGATGATGATGAGTGAAATTTGTATTGAGTGCAAGTATAAAAACTATTGAACAGGGTTTGTTTTTAATGAACACTGATGCGACAAGGTAAATTTTTCAAGAACGGGGAAAACACTGATGGGAAAGATTTTTCACAAGGGGTCACATTGATAATCAGGTTTTTGAGCTTGTGCCACACTGATCGTAAGGGTAGGCCAAATCCAAAAATTTGCCCCGGTCATGACTCTCACGCAGGAGCACTTCAACGATCTGCGACAAATCCGAGAAATGCGCCGTGGACATTGCGACGCTGACGGCAGAACACTCGTCCCTGCAAAACGACCTCGCACGAACACAATCTCAAGCACCTGGCACTCCGATTCAGCCCGCACCACAGGCATCACAGCACGGAAGTGTGGGGCAACCCGTGAGCGCCGCAAGTGATGGCGTCGTCCGCCATGACGGAGACGACGACCACGGCACGACACACCCCGACATGACGAATGCGGCCAGGAATTAGCCTCAAGTCACGATTTCAATGCCGGCCGGCGAATCAACTCTTCCGTCGCCGATGCCGCTAAAGCCGCAGCATCCGCCATGTTTCGACCCAAGTCAACGGGGTGGTCCTACCGTTCAGGCGTGTGGAAACAAAGAACGAGGATGGAATGACTATGAACGAAGTGAGTACAAATAGGAAACCCTAATTGGGTTGTACCCCCTATGGGATACCCCACTATAGCCTACAGAAACAAGTAAGCTATAAGTTCTGACACACCCCCATAGGCAAAGTGGGGGAGAACAAGGGGTCACAAGACCAGTCAAGCAAAGCAAAGCAAAGCTCAGGGTGGATCACAAAGTCACCACGCATTCCGAGCACAAGTTCAAAGGCCACAAGGCCAGTTCACATGCAAGATCATATATAGAGATATACAAGAACAAGAGTATATATATGCGAAAGTACAAGCAAGGTCAAGAGGAGAGCAAGTGAGGCAAGACAGGCACAAGACCCAACTGCGTGCAGCAACGCTGATGATCACAAGGCGCAAGTGCCTTGGTGAAGACATCAGCAGTGTTGGCCTCAGAGGCCACGTACCCAAGTCGCAGCTGTCCACGCTGCTGTAGCTCACGAGCAAGAAAGTAACGAAGAGCAATGTGCTTCGTTCTGTGCTCCAGTCGCTGCTCTCGACACAAGGCCAGCATGGCCTTGTTGTCTACGTACAGGACTGGAGGAGAACGAGGCTGCTCTCCAAGGTCGGTCAGCAGGTAGGTGAGCCAGCGTAACTCCTGTGCAGCCATAGCCCCAGCGTAGATCTCAGCCTCACAACTGGAGCCGAGAACAGAAGACGAGCGGGTAGCCCGCCACGAGACAGAGCCGGAACCAAGGCTGAAGGTGTAACCCTGTGACGACCGCTGCGTAGCCTGGTCGTCAGCCCAAGAAGCGTCTGCGTGCCCAGTGAGGACCACTGGACTGCGCCCTCCAAGCACTAGCCCCATGCCCGACGTACTGCACAAGTAGCGCAACACCCTCTTCGCTGCAGCCATGTGCTCTGGTCGGTGTCTCCCAGGAGCAACAAAGCGTGCGAGAATGCTAAGAGGGTATGCGAGGTCAGGTCGTGTGCAGGTCATCAGGTACATGAGGCAGCCAACAAGCTCTGCAAACGGGCCACTCGACTCTACGGACTCATCCGAAGGCAGAGCTGAGAGCGAGTGGCGAGTAGGCAGAGGAGTGGCCTGAGGCGAGGAGTACGTGAAGCCGAAGCGCTGAAGGACCTGCTGCACCATGTGTGACTGAGTCAGGGTAATGGTGCGGCGTGCTCTGTCCCGGGTGATCTGCAAGCCAAGGTAGCTGCGCAGTTCACCCAGGTCAGTGCACGTGTGTCTCTTCTGCAGCTCGGACTTCACGTAGGCGAGTCCAGCAGTGTCCGCTGTGGCAAAGACCAAGTCGTCGACGTACACGAGGATGTAGAACGGCGGCAGAGAGGTGTCGGTGCGCAGAAACAGCGACGGGTCGGCAGTGGAAGGAGCAAACCCAAGTGCCGCGAGCGTAGTCCTCAGTGTGTCGTGCCACTCACGTGGCGCCTGGCGGAGACCGTAGACTGGACGCCGGAGACTCCACTGGGTACCAGGAGGGAAAGACCCAGTGAAGCCAGGTGGGCGACGCAGCCAGATCTCCTCGTGCAGGCTGCCCTGCAAGAAAGCTGTGCTGAAGTCGAGAGAGTGCAGCTCGTAGTCACGGTGAGCAGCAACGTGTAGCAGAACCCGAAGAGTGGTCATCTTCGGGGTGGGGGAGAAGGTCTGAAAGTAGTCAACCCCCTGCCGCTGACTGAAGCCACGAGCCACGTAACGCGCCTTGAAGACAGGCGGAGAACCCGGCGGCCGCTTCACCCTGAAAATCCACATGCCACTGACGATGTTCGCCCCAGGAGGGGGAACAGCGTCAACGTAGGTGCCTGTGGACTTCCAGGAAGCCATCTCTGCATCCATAGCTGCCTGCCACTGAGAGGAGTAGGGACCCTCTATCGCCTCCGCGTAAGAGCGCGGAGTCGGGATGTCTGGTGCATCCGGGTCTCCCTCAGGGGCTAGCAGTACAGACGCGAGACGAGGTGAAGCGGCGGCCAGACACTGGAACTCCTCCTGCCTGTCCTCAAGGACGTCCGTGCCAAGGGCACACTCACCCCCGACGGACGGAGGACAGGCGGACTCAGACTCAGTGACAAGACGAGCAGCGTAGTCTAGACGACAGCGCGCAGCAAAGTCGACAAGCTCAGTGACAAGGGCAGACGCAGCAGACGACTCGAAGGAGGGGTCAGTGACAGCAGTAGCCAGGAGACGCGTGACAGTAGGACTGGCAGCACGAAGGGCGTCCGACTCCGGGTCGGCAAGAGCAGGAAGAGAGGAAGCAGGAGGAGAAGGCAAAGGGGCACGCAGAGGAGCAGTGGACGGACGCAGTGACATCCGGTGCGTGCCAGGGACAGGAGGAGGACGCTGACGCGACCCGCGACCACTAGCGCGCTCAGTACGAACAGGCGACACAGGAC